AGTTTGCATTTACGACAAAACTTGATTAAACCGTTTGAGATGTATAGATCAAAATAACACACACATTTCCTGATAAAGCAGATCCTTCACGGTAGAAAAAAAACTAAATTTTAAAGTGAAATAGTATGCAGGCCAACACCGAAGAACAATATTTTTGTATACAAACAACTTGTAACATAAACATTTCAATGCCAGTTTATAACCAGCTGTTAATTTAACCAGCACTGAAAATACTTTGAATTCCCAAGTAGCAAAAATCGTTGGCAAATCGTTGGCACAACGTTTCTGTCGATCGTTGGCCAACGGTATGTTTTGGCACTCAGTCTTACGGTTGGCCAACCAACCAATTTTTGCGGAAGGGCCAACCATCCCATTGGGCATAAACATAAAAAAACATAAAATAATAAAGATTTTGCATGAAAAGCATAATTATGAGTTGAGTAAATTGATTAAATAGTTCATAAAAACTTATTTTGAAAATAAAACGAGATAAAACTTTTGGCCGGGACGGGTCTTGAACCCGGTACTTTCGACTCATAAGCCTCACGCCTTACCTCTGAGCTAACTGTACTTGTTGATATAGAGTGTTTTCAAGTGGTGAAAGAGTAGCCGACAGGTTCAATGGTCACAATTAATACTTTAAATATTTTTGATGCTACAGTATAATATGATTCTGTTAATCTGTTTAGGCCTCAAGTAGTTGAATTGTTTTTCTGGTATAGCTCGGCCGCTTAGAAAGCGACCTCCTCCAGCATTGGTTTAGCATTAGCGCGCAGGTCGTTTTCTAAGCGGCCGAACGTTGGAGAGGATACTAGTATTTGAATATAGATTATTTAATTACCATTAGATTAGTATAGGCTACTGTTATAATTGATTGTTATATAATTAATAATCTTTTCTCTATAACTATTAAAAACTTGCTTAAATAAGTTAAAGAATATTAAAAAAAAGAATTATAATAATTATTATATGTTAAGCAGGTGTTCCCCACTGTATCTAGTATCACAACATCATCTGACTACATTCATTATTGATCCAAATGTTTACATTTAAATTTGTATCCCTTAGTTACATATGCGGCTGTATAGTATTTAGATATATACATGGTGTGGATTAACGTCCGCACTAGTGAGTACTACGACTATCCGCAGTAATATCCTGATAATTAGACCAATTCGTAAATTACAAGGAAAAAAAGTGGTTCGGATTCCACTATAAACTGTAGGTCCCTTTGTTGCCATTAGCTGTATGGGCTATTAATTAACAGCTGTGTCTAAGGAACATGTCGGCCTTAGTCACTAACAAGACTACAAGATCGCGCCACTCATCCTACACTCATCCTTCACTCATATTTGGGTTAAAATACGCACATAGTGGCGTCCCCATCTTAAATAATTGATAATTGATACAATATTTGTCTTATATTCTGCTGCCATAACATTTATGTACTTTTAAATAAATCAATTTGTTAACATTCGTTTTAGAATGTTTTATACTTAAACCCAACGAATGCCCAACGAAGGCCCAACGATTCTTTCCTTTGTAGGGCCAACGAATAGCAGTTTCCGTTGGGCCAACGTTGGCAAATCGTTAACATTTCTGCCAACCATTTCCCAACGTTGGGCCAACGATGTGTGCTACTTGGGTTGCTAGCGTCGGCTGCTAGACTTTTAAAAAATTGAAACTTAATTTCTAAAAAAAACTGAAACCCTAAATTAAAATTATGGCTTCGACATTCCCTAGTTCTCAAAATTATCTTTCTTTCAACACAAAAATCAAAGTGGTTGATTCAGAATCGTGAAATAAAAAAACCCCTGTTTCGTTTTAATATTATAGATAGATAGATTATGACTGTATTGGTTACTGAACTATGACAATATTTACTCAGCTTAAAAATTTACAGATATAGATTTTAATTCATATTGTTTCGGTTTTCAATTCTGTGGGTTTTATTTTCAATATTTTAATAAATTTATGTTCATAAATTTAAATTTAAATCAATAAAGTGCAAATTAATGAGCTGATGTCACCTGTCTGCCATGTTATCTTATGGTAACATGGTCATCTTATAGCAATCCAAGCAGACGCGTCACCTGTCTGCCATGTTATCTTATGGGACGTCTGTCGCTGAACAACACCACTTGCGACGTTGCCAATTCTACCAGGCCGCGGCCTGTAGTTAAAGGCGGCCGTGATACTGTACGAGCTTATTCCTGAATTAAAAGAACTAGTGTTCCTGTTGCTCGAATTCGAGCAATTGTTAAGTCTTACAGGCGTTATTTTAAAACAAACAGTCATAATTTCTGATGACTTTAAAATATTCGACTCAAAGATTATGGAAATACTCAAGATGTACCTAACAGATTGATATAATCAACATTTCTTGTAAATATCTTATCATTTTTCAAAAGCTGATCTTGTTTTTAATGTTTTCTACAAATAGCCTTACTCATAGCCGCATTAGGTTGTCCATAATAATGATTATAAATATTCTAAAAAACATGATTTCTATTTCTTTTCCTTGGCGGTGTTCTATGACTTTCCTATGTTACCATAGTTTGCAAATCGGCACTATAAATGATTACTGAGAAATGCAGCACAGTGTTAATTGAGTTTTCTTTTTAGTATATCAATTAATCCAGGCTATCTAGTTTTTCCCATTGTAATATTTACGCCAACCCAAATTCAAATAGTAAATATTTCATTTCTACCAAGTCAGTAAATGTTTGTAGCAAACTGTTAAATTAGCAAGCTTATTGACTTTTTACAATTAATGTCCTTCTTCTCACTTTTAATTTCTGACAACAGCTGGAGTTTTATAATAATTTTTGTTTCCCATGTTAATCTTATGGAGAAATACGAAACTTTAAAGGGCCCCAGGGCCTCACTCTCTAATTATTTCCCTAAAAAGAAAGTTTCCTGCACAACTTCACGTTACGCTCTTTCCAACGACACCAAAAACATGTCAATCGGTTCAGTAGTTTTGGAGGAGTAATTGTCACAAAAAACCTGCTTGCGTATTAAATAAGTAATAGATAATTCGTACGCTTGGCTCATAGGCACTATGATCTGTAAATTAACCATCTTCATTTATTTGATATTTTCGATAGGCTCATATAGTATACGAGCCTGTAGTGCAAGTGAACCTTTAGTATTATCATTGGCTATAGGAATATATAGTAGAGTAAGTGAGCCATATGTGTTTAAAGAATTACATATTTTGAGGCTCATAGTGTCTATGATTGTAAGTGTAAGTGAACCCTAAAGCACGGGTCACACTAGGCTGGTATCAGCGGCGAATTGAAAGAAGCCGCTACTGTCAGCTTGATGTGACCACAAAATTCGCAGCTGGCATCGCTAGCCGGCGAGTATTTGTCAGCGGCTGGCGAAGTTGGACATGTTCAACTTTTGGTAGCGAGGCAGCGGCGACTAGAGGTCACGTGACCACTCGCACTCGCTGACACCAGCGAGCAGCGTAGTCGGACCACCTCTAGAAGCGTGCCAGCGGCGACCAAAGGTAATATGTGTAGATATAAAGTCAATGGTAATATGGTAATATCCGGCTTGGTTCAACACAAAAGGACAAAAGCAACTGTCTCATTTTTTAAAATTAGAGGCTTAACTTTAATTCTAGTAATGGAATGTATGTGGTGACTGGTGACATTCGTAAAACATTTTGGTATGTTTCTGATTCTTTTTTTAGCGCGTTTAAAAACGTGGTATTTTTAAAAAGTATTTTTATTTGTAAATTATTTGTAACCAAGACCTGATCCACTAACATCTCTTCTTGCGGTTAAGCATCTTTTATTTTAATGAAATTATCTCTTTCACACACATCCTCAATTTTAAGTGCTGGATGAGGACCCAAAAAAGGACACAATGGCAACAAGAACTTAGCTTTAAACTTTAAAGTAGTATTGTAGCATACTAGACATTACTGAGCTTAGGTGGTCGGGGAAGCAGGTTATTGATTTCTTATAAATTTATTCCAAAACTAAACGTGCTTGTGGGACGTTTCTTTATAGAAGTAAGAACATCAAATAAGCAGCTTACAGTGATTTGTTACAAAACCTCAAAGCTGTTCTTTTCCTTCTCACACATCATTGGAGGTTATCGTGATCACCAGCTGCTGACAAGCAGCCTAGTGTGACCCGTGGAAAAGCCGCTGCTTGGTGGTGCTGGGGCCAGCCGCTGGTCACCAGCGGCTGCCGAGCAGCCTAGTGTGACCCGTGCTTAACCGAAGTATTCAGTGAGTAATAGCATAGAAAGGTAATTAATAGTTAACATTAACAAAGTTAACATGGGAGCGAGCTGGCGTAGTGGTTAAAGCGCGGGACTTCAGTCCGTGAGGTCCGGGTTCAATTCCCGCCAAGTCACCGATGGATTTTAAAGCACGGATCACAGTAGGCTGGCATCAGCGGCGAATTGAAAGAAGCCGTGACTGTCAGCTTAATGTGACCACAAAATTCGCAGCTGACACTGAGCTGACTCAGCCTGGATTGGTGAGCCGGTGATGCTGGTGCCAGCTGCTGATCACCAGCGGCTGGCGAACAGCCTAGTGTGACCGTGCTTTAAACAAGAATAAAAGTAAGTTTTTTCAAGAGTCTGTGAACTACTTAGGATACAAAATTGATGGAAAAGGATTGCATAAGAGCCATGATAAGATAGAAGCTCCTAAGTAGTTCACAGACTCTTGAAAAAACTTACTTTTATTCTTGTTTAAAGCACGGGTCACACTAGGCTGTTTGCCAGCCGCTGGTGATCAGCAGCTGGCACCAGCATCACCGGCTCACCAATCCAGCGAATTTTGTGGTCACATTAAGCTGACAGTCGCGGCTTCTTTCAATTCGCCGCTGATGCCAGCCTAGTGTGACCCGTGCTTAAGTGATAATGCCGCAACCCCTAGGTCTAGCCTGAAGTATGAAAAACAATCCCAGGCTTGTGCCATCTTGTGCCTAGCGTCCTAGGACAAAAAAAACCATTAGTTAGTAATCGAACACGAGAACAGGCTGCGTGGAACAATTTATCCAAGCCTTGAGCCTGCTCAGAATAAGAAAAGCAAGAAAAAAACCCATAACTGTGTCACCACTAACAGTAACTAGTCAAATCAAATCAAAGTCAACATAAAACATACTCAACTAGTCAACTCAACCTAACAAAACATAACGGAAGAAGAGGTTATGTTTGTGTATTTAGAATTTTAGATTTTGTTTAAAGTTTAAACCAATTCAAAGGGTTGGTTGGTATTTACGTTAATACGTAAGTTTACAATATGTTCAACCAATTTAAATAGTCGTTTGTCAGATGTAGGGTCAATATAGGTCTAGGCCTAGCCATAGAGTTAAGTTATAATATCAACACTGTTATTATAAATCCATGGGCCTAGCTATATTCATTGAATTCATATTGTTACTATGCTGCTGCTAAATGTGAGTCAGGCGTTAAGTTAGGCCTACATTGCAGTTCTCTTGGGTACACTTCCATAAGATATCTGTTGGCACAAACAACCGAATGGCCTAATATTGATTACCTATTCGATTGTTTAATTCGATATATGGGTTGGTTAGTTAGGTTAGGTTAACCTTACCTAACTCACCAAACGATCGATATTTTCATTCGGTTTGTACCAACAGATCATGGAAGTGTAGGCCTACCCGTTCTCTTTTTAAGCCTTGGTTAACCCTCCGAGTGTCCATAGTTTAGGCCTTAATGTCCGCCTATTTTTGGCGCATTTACAAGGTTTTATTAAAACGGATCTGAAAAGCTTAAAACAATGTTAATTCTACTGTTCTATATACCATTTTGTTTGGAAAATCAAAAAACCGATTTCAGTACATAGGCCTAGCATTTAGCTAAGAATGCATAGCCTAACCATAGCTAGGAATCTGGCTGATAATTTACATCAATATCACTACCTACTTCTTCAGGATCATCAACCAGCCCTTCAAAATCACTTAAATCTTCTTATAATGCACCACGTATATCACTACTTTTGATTTTTAACACTAAAACAATGATAAACATAATAAAACACATCAGTCATCGGTCCGAGGTAAACTAACCTGTTTACAAATACGCACGTCAGCTGTCTGCTACAATTACGATCGGCTCGGAGAACATAAAGCGCTTAGAGACAGACCTCTGGAGACAGCTTAGAATATAACGAAAAGAACGATACCTAACTCGATCCAGTTCAATCCGATTTTGTCAGTCATAGAGCCTTCGCCGTAAACAGTGTTCGTGAGTCGCTGCAGCGACGCATGACACTCGGAGGGTTAAGCAGAGCGAATTTACAAGAGTAGCCTATTAAAGCAAGCCTAGCCTATTACAGCTTCTGCTATTAACCAATTTTTCCGACCTCATTAACACTAATTCTATTTGTCACTTGTGCACAAGCAATTGTGAGTAGGGATAACTTAGTACACTAGGAGAGTTTTACCACAGAGAAGTAAGGTACAGAGGAAATATTCAATGGTACACTTAGGTGTTGTCTAGGGCATAGTCCAACACCACACCCCTTGCAATCATGTACTACTTACGGTACTCACAGTTGAGAAAGACGCTGTGCCCTGTGTGGCAGGAATTTCTGCTTAATGCTCGCAGCTTGGGCTCTTCCTTGCTTGTTACAAGTATATTTCCGGCACAACATACTAGAGCTGAAAGCATACGGTCATCCCATAAGCAAGTTTCCTCTGTACCTTAGGCCTACTTCTTTAAGTTATGGTTTTACTTAAAATCTGGTGAATGACGTGTTACGTCACCAGCGTCAAAAGTTTCCAGAGCTTTTATTATTTGGACCTATCAAGCAAGTGCACTACTAAGGATGGCTCACAACCTGAGTAAAAAAAGGCCTAGTAGATTGCAAACTCGTCTTACAGTGTATTAGAGCCAAGGCGATTTTGTTACGTCAGGATCTTCACAATCAACTATAACACGCTAACTTAAACCTTTATAGGCATAACTCAAGCTTAAGCTTACTGAAAAGGAACTGTAAAATCATGATAAACAATCTATTGCCAATACACAGAATACAGCATTTTATGTGCAGCGATTAACCTAAGTCGGTCAATAAGCTTTTACACCAAGTTGACAAAAAAACACAGGTTCTGAACATAAAAAAAAACTACCTTAAGTTACAAGAACATAGGAAAAGTTACTTGTTTAACGGTAACGGTCCACCTTCAGCCCCATACTTTTTCTAATTTGTCCACATTCCCAAATGATTTTGACTTGTTTCTTTAATATGTTGCATCAACCTTCTCAATTACTCCTTTTTTGTTATGTTTCAACATTTTACGCTCAAAGGTAACTGATGACAAGACACGCACAAAATAATCTCTTTACGACTAACATAACAGAACTAGCCAAACAAAGAAATAAGGGTGGATTTTAATGTTTCAACAAGGATCAAAAATAGCTGTCTTGCATAGTACGGCAACCCAGATTACAAGTACCATACCGCTGTTTAGAGACAAAGCAAGCTCATAAGTTGGCAGCCCTGCTTCCTTAACTTTATTACCTGGGTCATTCCACGCCAAATCATCCAGCCAACAATAGACTTGTCACCCAAGGTTTTCTGATTTCAATAAAATTTTGCATAGATAATATATACATATAGAGCCATTTTAAGTTTCCCACAAATTCAGTTTCCGAGGCTTATTTTTGCGCTAAACTGAAATGCATATATTTCTCGTCTTTCTATGTAAAAAGGACAATATTGAAGATATGGGCTTCAAATTTTACTTATATATCCAAAACTTAATGCAGAATCATATTACACAAGTGAAATGATAACTATTGCCTATTATCACAACAACAAAAAATCCTAAATACAAATAATTTGATTTTTCCAAAATCGGAACATTCCAGTTACAGTACAAAAGGTTTGATAACAAAAATCTCTCTCCAGATAAACACCTATAAAACTATATATCACTGGAAAGAGGATAAAATTATCTTTCAAATGGTATAATAACATGAGTGGGGTTTTGAGTATTAACATTGTTATCACACGTGAAAGTCAAAAATTAAATTTGATTAAGCTAAAAATTTCATTTGATGCCGAATATGTATGATGAACTTAAATAATACAAAAGGTTCATCAATTTAATATGTTGGTACAAATCACTAAAAATCTAAAAATATGAAACAAAATATTGGGTCCTTAAGTTGTTATTTTTGTATGAATTAAATTTTTACTTATAAAAAGCCCTAACTAAATCGTCCTATATCCTACATTACTTTTACCTAAATAAAGGCTAATTATTGCTTTACAAGCAATTACAATTACATTTTATGCAAAATTTATAAGTTTACCACTCTCAATAACAAATAAAAAAATATGCATTATTAATTTTTATAGATCAAACTTCAATATTAAATTTTGTGTTAAAAAAATAAAAATAAAATTTTATGACAGGCCTATTTAATACACAATCAATGTTTGTAACCAGAGTTTATACCAGTGAATGTGACCAGTGTCTGTGTGTGTTGGTGCGTTTGTCACTCCTGTGATGACATGAAACATGAAACATTCAAGTCTAAACATGAAAGGCTTGTTTTACATCTATCCGGCATAGGGTGCACCTTTCACGTTATGCCGACACCGGCACTCTGGTAGTTGTACTCCAGAGCTTGTGTGTCGTAGGGATAGAAATGGAACGTAACAGAGCAATTGCAATGATACTTCGAAATTACTTTTATTGAAACTGTATTTATATTTGGATTATTTTTTTATTTCATTCAATTTGAATTTGAGTAAAATTTTATTCAATGTTGTGTAATAAAAAAAATATAAAAAATAAAATAAAATTGAGTAAAAATTCAATTTAATTCAATTCTGCTCTTGAACTAAATTAACAAGTAGTTCAATGTCTATTTCCGACATGACCAAGACTTTGCAAACAAATAGGCCTAACCAAAAGTAAAACTCAAATAACTACAAACAACTGAACTAAAAGTACACTTGGTGCACCCGACAGACGGCAGGTGCCGGTTTTATGTGAACAGTCACATTGGGCCGCTACACCCACTACTCCAGCCGGCTTGTTTACCCGAGACCGGCAGCCGGCCTTCGCCGAGGGGGTGCCCGGCATCCCTCGACTTGTACACGGCAGCCGGGCAAGTGATTAACTGACCACGACACATGCCGTGCATATGTGAACAGTCCTATATACTTCTTCACCCCATTGCCGGTTAAACGTTAAAACATGTTTATCATGGAAGGTATTGCTGCACCAAGTCAAGTGAGAACTAATTTGATTTGTACAGTAGGTAAACTGTCAGACTCTCCATGTGAAAATTTACTTTAACACAAGAAAAAAATTTTCATTTTATTTTTGAAAATCTTTCAAATGAAGAACTAGAAACATGAAGGTGGCAAACAAATAATGAATGTAATAAAAACGATTCAATTTGTTACTTTTTGATATATATAAAAAATCATGCTGTGGCCCATTTAAAAAACATGTGGTATCCTTTTATTGAAATCAGAAAACCTTGGGTGACAAGTCTACTGTTGGCTGGATGATTTGGCGTGGAATGACCCAGGTAATAAAGTTAAGGAAGCAGGGCTGCCAACTTATGAGCTTGCTTTGTCTCTAAACAGCGGTACGGTACTTGTAATCTGGGTTGCCGTACTATGCAAGACAGCTATTTTTGATCCTTGTTGAAACATTAAAATCCACCCTTATTTGTTTGTTTGGCTAGTTCTGTTATGTTAGTCGTAAAGAGATTATTTTGTGCGTGGCTTGTCATCAGTTACCTTTGAGCGTAAAATGTTGAAACATAACAAAAAAGGAGTAATTGAGAAGGTTGATGCAACATATTAAAGAAACAAGTCAAAATCATTTGGGAATGTGGACAAATTAGAAAAAGTATGGGGCTGAAGGTGGACCGTTACCGTTAAACAAGTAACTTTTCCTATGTTCTTGTAACTTAAGGTAGTTTTTTTTTTATGTTCAGAACCTGTGTTTTTTTGTCAACTTGGTGTAAAAGCTTATTGACCGACTTAGGTTAATCGCTGCACATAAAATGCTGTATTCTGTGTATTGGCAATAGATTGTTTATCATGATTTTACAGTTCCTTTTCAGTAAGCTTAAGCTTGAGTTATGCCTATAAAGGTTTAAGTTAGCGTGTTATAGTTGATTGTGAAGATCCTGACGTAACAAAATCGCCTTGGCTCTAATACACTGTAAGACGAGTTTGCAATCTACTAGGCCTTTTTTTACTCAGGTTGTGAGCCATCCTTAGTAGTGCA